AACCAAACAGATCTCAAAGACAGACTTCTAGGTAGGAAAGCCAACAGATTATAATTGCATCATAAATAATTCAGTCACCCATATGCCTCCAGCCTCCTCCACACAATAATTTTTTCTCCAACCATGAACTATTTCCATTATCCACTTGTTAACAAAAACCTTTCGTTCCTTTTTCACGAGCAGAACTCCCAGATTATTTCCAATAGCATCTTTCTATTACTTGATAAAGCTCGTTGATGTGGGAAGATGGAATTAATTTTTCTAAAGGCTATAGCTAGGGAGAGGTGTAATCAAACCCTTTGTCACCTACGACTAGACCCTGGTGTCTACCCCCAAGCACTAGTCTTTTGGGGCCAACCCCATAAGAAATAGGCTCATCCTCGTTTTCAAGTGATGCTCATTTCTTATAGTGCATGCTGTTTAAGATAAAGGGCCAAGAACTTGTCCGTGTTCTTTCGATTTCTAAGGAAACATTAGTGGAGACAATAAATACGCTAGGACTTACAATTGCTAAAAACAACTTTAATGAGTTCCAGTATAATTTCATTTATCTTCTTGCCATTACTTGACTCCTAATCTCCCACATACTATCAAAATCAATGGTTCCTTACATATTAGCTTCAATTCCTTCATAAATCAATTTATATAACTTATATTTCAAAATTTTGAAACATTAAAAGGTCATGAGTTTCAAATGATTCGTTCAAGTGTGCAAGAGTTAAACACGTGAATATGAGTAGAGTCGAAATTTATTAGCTATGTCATTCGTGCAGAAATTGAGGCCAACAGAATGAATCGAATAGGTCGAAGAGTAGTTGAGACTTTAATTTTCCTTATATATCCATGGATAATATGAAATATATTTTTAATTATTTTTAAATTTATTATTTTCTCAGCATTTGCCAGGATTTGGGCCTTCTCTTTATAATTCTGGGCCCATTTTCTTTACCAAACTATACCAAGGGGAACCCCGAATCTAATTCGCCTCAATAAAACCCTACGTCTATCTTCCCTCATCTCATTTTATCACTTCCCGCCGTCTTCTTCCCATCAATAACAGAGGAAAAAATGGGTCGTGTAATCCGGGCACAGCGTAAGGGAGCAGGGTCCGTTTTCAAGTCCCACACCCATCATCGCAAGGGTCCGGCCCGATTCCGTTCTCTGGACTTTGGCGAGCGCAATGGCTACCTCAAGGGTGTGGTGACCGAGATCATACACGATCCTGGCCGAGGTGCTCCATTGGCACGGGTCACCTTTCGCCATCCCTTCCGGTATCAGCACCAGAAGGAACTGTTCGTCGCCGCCGAGGGTATTTACACTGGTCAGTTCCTGTACTGTGGTAAGAAGGCCAATCTAGTTGTTGGCAATGTCTTGCCTCTTAGAGCCATCCCTGAAGGTGCCGTCATTTGCAACGTCGAGCACCATGTTGGTGACCGTGGTGTTTTTGCTAGGGCTTCTGGGGATTACGCCATTGTTATTTCGCACAACCCTGACAATGGAACCTCTAGGTGTGTTGCTTAAATATTTAATCTGCTTTATTTATATGTTGTTTGTAAATTGATATTATGCTTGCAAATAATTGTTGAATTGATTTTAGTTTATTGTTTTGGATTTTATTGGCGTTTGAAATTTAGAAGTCAGCATCTGTCGAGCTATGTTTACTGATTTAATTTTTATGTTACCCCCTATTTTATTATGTAATGTGATTATAGGGTATGTTTGGAGTTGTGAAATGCTGCAAATTCAATGCTTTTATGGTCTTCAATACATTCATCTCATGAATTGTATAAACATGAAACTATAGGAAACAGAGTATTGATTTAGTCACATTATATCGCAATTTAATTCTACCTTCTGTTTCTTCACATACCAAGTTTTTTTTCCCTCTTTTTTGGCAACAATTATTTCAACCTGGATTCTGATTTAAGAAAATTGCTCAGAATTTACTTTGTTTGGTATGTGGATTTAACAATCTGATTCTCAGATATATATATTGAGGACTTTGGTGGCACTTCAGATTATATCAGTTATTTTTTATATTTGAGACGAACTCTTCTGTATTGTGTATGCACATGAATGGTACATCTGTGATTGAAGTAGTTGCTATTGATCGAGAAGCATTGTATGCTACAATGCATTTTAGCAGTATTCTAAAAATGCTAGATAGCAAACCAAGCTTCAAGCTTTTACTGGTCTAAGTGGGCTTGGACAAAGGTTGTGCTTAGAAAAATGTGAAGTGTGGCTAGGAGGCATGGCCAAGCTTTGTTCCTAGGTGTTCTTTTTGGAACACTGATTTTTAGTATTGTATCTGCTAGAAATGTTTTATTTTTGCGCAGTGATGACTAATTATTTTAATTTGAAAACTCATTTTAATTTAATCTTATCATATGTCATGTACATGTTTGGTGATTTTAAAAATAAGTTTTAAGTGACGTACCAAATTGAGAATCTATGTTATGGAGCATCATAAGTTGGAGGGTTGACAAGTTCTTATTGTTGACAGGATTAAGCTTCCTTCAGGAGCCAAGAAGATTGTGCCTAGTGGCTGTCGTGCCATGATTGGCCAGGTTGCTGGAGGAGGACGTACTGAGAAACCACTGTTGAAGGCTGGGAATGCTTATCACAAGTTCAGAGTGAAGAGGAACTCCTGGCCTAAGGTTCGCGGTGTTGCTATGAATCCCGTGGAGCATCCCCATGGTGGTGGTAACCATCAACATATTGGTCATGCAAGTACTGTTCGTCGGGATGCACCACCTGGGCAAAAGGTTGGTCTTATCGCGGCTAGGAGGACTGGTCGTCTACGTGGTCAAGCTGCTGCTACAGCTTCTAAAGCTGATAAATAAATAAGGATATGCCGATTTTAAATTTGTTTGCTGCGTTTCTTGTTATTGTGTCTTAATCAGACTACATGTTCAATTGTGACTGCTATCCTAATGCTATGCTTAGATTTTGTTTTGACTGGCTGTGTTAGATTCTTTCTGTGAGCTTATTTAGGAGAAACTCTATAATAGGACGATCGTACTGTCCACGTGGTGTGATCGTCCTATAAGGGAGGGCCACCCGTCGAGATGGTGGCTTGACATTGGACACATCATTGAAGTATTTCTCCTCATTACAGGGGCCTTTGTTGGTGGGGCTCTGACACAAGGTACTTATCAGATTGAGCTCTTGTTTGATATTCATTTTTTTTAAATACATTTTTGTCTCTTTTTTTCAATCATATTTTTCAATAAAATAATATTATACGTAAATTTAAAATTTTTTAATTTTTTTAATTATATATTTTTTATCAATCTATCATTTCAAAATGCATTCTTTGAAAATAATGGGGCTCAAATAGGCTTTGAAGGTACTTACTCGATCAATAGAATGATTTTGTGCCAAGTTGGTGAACTAGCAATAGAGATTCTCTTCGGATAATTGGTACTGTTATTGTTATTCTTGTGATCGATTTAATATCAAGATAACTGGAAGTTCTATCAATTTTTTTTCTTTTTCCTAGATACCCTAGTTCAAATATATCATCGATGTTTAGTGGGATCCTCGTACATGGTGAATACCTCATTTTAATCATTTTGTCTTCCTTGAATGATTTTTTATTTGGGAAATGATAATTTCATTATGTTGTTGGTTCGAGTTGGTTAGCGACTCTCTATTTCATTGTGGACGGTTGTATTTAATGTGGCTTGGCTACCCCTTCGGCAATTCTAGGCTTTCATCTCGGTGTCTTCAAAGATTTGATCAAATGATTTAACCGAATTGGTTACCATTTGGCAAGTTTTAACTTTCTCATAAAATTCTTCTATAAGAAGTATGATGAAAAATTGAAGTCTTATCACAATGGTTCTTGATCTTTTTATTGGTTTGGTTTTTGCGGGGAGAGTGAGTCAACAAATGAAGTGGTAGATAAGCTACTTCCATAAAAACGCGTATCTTTCAATAAATAAACGTATGCACTTATATAATTAAACAATAGTAACTGATTAATTAATATATTTTTAAAGGTTATCTTCATTAACAGTTGCTAATAAACCCGGAATATTACAATTGTGATCTTCAAGCTTTTGCCAACAGTACTTAGGCCGTCATTTAATTTTTCCTGACACACACACACACACAGATAATATTTATTTTTGAGACACTTACTAGAGTGGTGTTATTTATCATTAATTGTGATAATCACTAATTCGGTGGTTGAACTACATGATTTATTATTCATTGCATTAAAATGCATCACATTTTTATTGGGCAACGAATCATATAACAAACTATTAATGAAGTTAGTGATTGTCGCTCCTAATGATAAATAGAATTACTTAGATATGATTTCTCTATTTTCTGTTGAAGTCACACGTGAACTTTTATTCACAAGGCATTTTTGGCAAATCAACAGTATTCTCTCTGAAATGTTTGTTTGGTAGAGATTTTGATAATTTGTTTTTTGACTGTTAGAGATAAAGTGAGTCTCACTTGTAAGAGAAAAATTCAAAAATGATGTCTGGAATAGTGAAATAACGATAAAAAAAAATTGATTTTGATTGACTTAAAATCTGCATCAAACAAACACAAAAGGAAAAGAGAAGTCAATATAGTGATTTTATTATTATTATTATTATTATTATTATTATTATTTTAAGTTAAATGATGATGATTAAGTATGCAAGATGTGTCACTCCAATAGGAGTATAATAAATCCCATCTAGCAATAGTAGGGATGGCAATGAAAGGAGGATTATTCTCATTTATTGTTCTATTTACTTATTTATAACTTATATTTAAAAAAATAAAAGGAATCGTGACGAGCTTGTTTTGATGGGTGGGTACTATGTTTCTTGTTCGCACCTTGATTCTCCATTGAGGCAGGGAAATGCAGGGTAGGGCGGGATGAGATTCAGGTATCAAACCATCTCCGTGGACTAGAGGGGATTCACATTTGTCGAAATTAAAATTTTGAGGATGCATATACCAAGAAAATTTAAATGGAGACTTAAGTACTGCAGTTTAAAAAGTTTGGGAGCTGCGTCGGTAATATTTACGTAATAAAATACACGTCCTCAATCACCAAAAAATAATTAAAAATAAATTTAAAAAAATCCCCACCTTTCCCGCGGGCGACTGTGTTTTGGTGGCGCATCAACTTCGATTTTATGATAATACAAGAAAACCTTTGGTTGAAAAGCCAAGTCACCCATCTATAATAACACCAGATTACAAATTGATCCTCAGAAAAAGAAAAACACGCACAAAAAAAGAAAAGATTGATCAAATGGATTTCACCGATCGATGGCAACTGGAATCACCATTTTTCATATAGAATAGAAATAATCATAGGTTGTTCCTTCCTAATCTGATTTTGTTGGTGGGTGTTTTGTGTGTAATTATGAAGTTTTTCTTGTGTTGTGGGTCTGGGACTCGGCAGCAGCCACCGGAGGAGTCGAGATTGCTGGTAGTGCCAGAAGCTCGCCCCCGCGTAGGGAGGAAGCGGGGAAGGGAGAGGCATTGTGGAGTTCTTGATTGGCGACCCTCTCTTTCATCAATTTCGGAGGATAACGTTTTGCCGGAAAGGAATACTATACAACCGCCGCCGCCGCCGCCGCAGATCCCTAAGAGGAAGGGTGATGGTGCATCCATTTCACCTCGAGATCGTGCGCATTCTTCGCATCAAAATGGTGTCAGGTAACAAATTTTTTCCTCCTATTACGTCGATTTGGTGATTTCTGGGTGCATTTATTACGATTTCATTCATTTACAGGCAAGCTTCTGTTCCAGCAGTTTTGCCTACGCTTTCCCCTTCGCCTTTCTTGTTTCTATAGATTATGGAAGATTAAACTGTGTATATATGGAATAAATCCATTTAATGGAATCGTTCAATGTATATAGTGTATGGATTAGCTTAATTCAAATCAACATTGAACTTGTTCTTGTTTCTTTTTTCATTGTTTGAGTTGTATATTGATCTGATTACCTTGGAATCTCTGTAAATAAAAGATGGGAAGATGACTTTGAATTATGTCCTGTTTGGTACAAAATACTAGGTAACCTTAAACAATAATTCTCGAGCTTTCTCCATCCTCAATTCCTGCCATTGTATCATACAAAGGCTTGTTTATGTCAGAATTCCTCGAGCAATCCCATATACCACGGACACCACAGATGGTATTGATGCATTACAGAAAGAAGAAGATTTTATGGAGAAGTAGGACTGATGTCGAAAGAATAATTTTTTGAGGTGTCCGTTTCGAATAATTTTGGGTGAAAACAATCCAATAAACAGAACACGTCGCTTTAGCCATAACGTTCGACTTTTTCTGCCAAATTTCATCGTTTAGGGCTCCACAAATGTGTTTTTCTATTTTCTGGATAATTTTGTTTAATTCATTTAATTTGGAATTTAATTCTATTTATTGCAAATTAATTTTGAATACGAGAAATTTTAATTTTTTTCATTATCTTTAATTTTAATTATTATCTAGAGTTAATCGTTGTCTAAAGTTTAATTATTATTTAGATTTTATCTACTACTTTAATTATTAGTTGTAAGTTTGAGGCAATTAGTTGAATTTAATGATAACAAAGAATCTTGTGTAGTTTTTCAAAATTATTCTCTTTTTGGTATTCGTGAGCGAATCAACAGTGCACGCTGCATTTCTTACAATGGAAGAAAAATGCTCCACCATATGAAAAAACAACAAACTACAGGCATTCGGTCCATTAATTTGATCAATAGTGCACGCTGCATTTCTTACAACGGAAGAGAAAGCTCCACCATATAAACAAAGAACAAATTATAGGCATTCTATCCGTTGATTTGAAAATTTGTTTTTGGCAAGGATCTTTCCACATCACACATTGTCAAACTACTAGTACAAATTCATTGTACAAGTCGATTTATTCCAAATTATAAGTTCCGGCCATGCCAAAAAAATTTGATAATACAACAGACCATTCTGGACAATCTTCAATGTTCTGAACCATAATGTACCAATAGCTAGGGGTTTTAGGCCAAACTAGTCTAATAGAATAGCTTCAACGAAAAATGCAGGCATTTTGCAGCATGTCATCTATGCATGTTTTCTCCCGTTGTTAGAGACTTCGATGATCGGACCGAGCAGTGTTAACTGGAGGTCAGGTTGAGTGAGGCCCAAAGATCCAGTCTAACTCTGTCAACATGATTATTGTAATCTGCTATCTTAAAAAAAGGTTGAGCCCCAACCTTGAGGGCCTCACCGTCCCGCCTCTGGAGTATCATGAGGGAGATAAATCGCGGGATGTGTCCCAACAGGTCAGGGAACAAGAGCTTGCTCGTACACTGGTGCCCACAAAGAGTCCAATTCCATATATTAGGAATCGAACCGTCACATTACAACTGTCAGTAAGGCTAAGACTACCCTACTCTTATCCTTTGCACTACTGAATTATGCCCCGAGAGGCTATTATAACCTGGTATATTGTTTGTACTTCATCAGGATGGAGGCTTTTAAACGAGAGCACACAGTAACGGATCCTGGATTTGAGGTTAGCTAGAGCGGTCGTTGACTATCAACGGCCAGAGTAGCGAGGTCCTTTATTAATATTTAATTAACTAATATTTAAAATTCTTCAATCTATATCTAAATGCCCTAAAACCTTTCGAGAGAAAATAAGAAATATAGAACACGAATAATAGATAAATTCAAAATATAGAAATGTAAATCTAAATAACCTAACCACAAGCAACTAGTCCACCATCCACATGTTTAAAGTCCAGGATCCAATTGCAATTAATCTAATTTCCTTAATTAAATAAATCAAATTATAACTAAAATCACTCTCTTTACAAAACCTAAAATCCAAAAGATTCAATTTTCATCATTTAAGAAGATAAATGCAATAGAATTATTTACCAGCAGGTTGAGGCGGGAGGTGGCAATCCACGACTAGCGGGTGGGCAACGACCATTGCGGCGGGAAGGAGAACATCGGGAATCACATGGCCACCACTGTTGTTTGGACTTTGGTTGTGATTTTTGAAATGAGATGTCATGGCTTCAGTTCAAACTTTGGGCAATAGGTTGTTGTGAATTGATTTGTGATTTTAGGCATTTATCAAAGATTTTGACCACAATTTTAAAACAAAAAAGGCCCATTCTTTCCTTCTTTTTTTTGTTTTGTGGAAATTATAAAATCCTAGGCAATTAAAGATCACAATACAAAAATCAAATGGGAAGATTTTTTTGTTCACAGTTCAGATATTGATTTAACAAGTAATATTAATAATAAAATATATCAACTCATTAATCCAATTCCAATGCCTAACAAAGAAATTCATGAAACTCCTTCTTCTCTCTTCACTCTCTCCACTCAACGACAATTCCAACGCCGCCGCCCACTGCTGGAGACCATCGCCCATGGCAACAATCGATTGTCGAACTCACAGTGACGACGACGTTGACTCAGCAAAGCATTTCCACCGAGCACGAAGCAGATCGCCAGCATGATTTTGTGGGTTTGGATTGTGGACCACTGCCCACGTCAACAATCCACCATCAAACTCACAGCGATGACGACGTTGACACGACGAAGCAGTTCTACTGAGCGTGAAGCAGACCACCAACGCGATTTGTGATTTTGGATGGTGGATTATTGTGACTTCTTAAAGAAGCAGATCCACCTAACTCACACTGCGAAGAAAATTACCCACTCCAGCGACTCTTCATAGGCGAAGCATGCCACTAACGGGAAGTAGAAGCGGTTTGGGGTGGTGGTGATAGTGTTTGTGTGGTGACAGTGTTTGTGGTGGTGGATATGGTGGTTGGGGTTTGTTTGGATGGTGTTGTGTGTGGTAGTGGTGATGATGATAGTGTTTGTGTTATAGCGGTTTCGTAGCCGTGGATCTGATGGTTGGGGATGGGTTCAGATGATGTTTTGTGTGGTGGTGGTGGAACTGGCGGTTGGAGTGAGTTTTATCGAATTTAGCAGTGGTTTGGGGGTCGTTTTGGTGTTGTTTGGGGGTTTTGTGTGGTTTTTGCTGGTTGTGTAGGTTGAGATGTTGGCGGCGATGGTGGATTTGGTGGCAGTTTTTGTTGGTAGTGCAAGTGAAAGTGTTGACGGTGGCGGCGGTGGTGATCAACAATGGTGATACTAATGGTGATGATGAAGGTCAACATTGGTGGTGGGGGCGACGGTCGCAGGAAGAGGGTGGTCACAATTGATGGTATTGTTGGTGGCGATGATACCAATTATTTGGTCATCCGTGACCAATTACTTAATTGTGACTTAAAAATTTGATAACATGTGATTAAAAAATAATTTGTGACCAATCAATATAGTTTTTTCTTTTTAATTGTGATTGATGAATAAACTGACCTATAAAATTTTCGATTTGTGACCTGGAAATAATCTGTGACTAATTAATTCGATAATATGAGACTAATAAATAAATTGTGACCTTTACTTATGTATCTGTGACCATTAATTTTATAGGTGTGACTTTATTATATTTAATTAATACATATTTTTAATATATATATACACACACACACACACACACCTAAATTTTGAATTTTTAAACTATTTATCTCACTTTTGAATTGGCATCAATAATACACCTGAAGTATGATTTTTTTTTCCCATTCAAATTTAAAAGAAAAGGCCTAAGTATGACTAATGACCTCATCTTACTCAATTGGCCAGTCCCCGTCTTTCTACCGTTGGAGAACCTAGATTAACGACGAGGTCACTCTATAAATTCCAGTGGAGTAAGCACGCACGACCCATGCCACCTCCCCGGTTGCTAGCTCCACCATTGAGGGCACACCAGCAAACAAACAAAAACAAAGAAGCTGTGATACACTTGTAAATTTGGATTGCCACCGCCATCATCACTACCACTTTGTAACGTACCATGTTATACTGACATTATTGCCTTGCCACCAGAAATAAGAGTTTAATTGGATGTGTCATTAACAAGAATAAAAGTAAAACTAATTATCATCATATATTTAGAGCCGACTACATAAATCCTTTTTTTTTCTGGGTCACGGTTTATGGTTAAAAGATTCAAAAACATCTAGATCTTTAAGAATCTTAGCTCTTCAAGTTATTTTCGATCCATTCTCCCATTTTTCTATTGTTATAGTGAATTCGTGTAATACAAGTCTCGTTTGTTGGCGGGCTGCCTCTCTATTGTTGGCTGGCCCAATTTAGTGGTATTGGGCCCTGTTGGGTTGGTTGATCCAACGGGTTGAAATGGTTTGAAAATGAAAAGCGTTTTTTTTTTGGAAACACGTCTTTCCTTAATAAAGGATGATAGTTGTGGACCTTAGAATTGGCACTTTTTTGATCATTGGATTGTCGATATTTTGGTGGACTGTTAAAGTCTCTTGACTCTTCACTTTTGTCGTAATCTGAGTGAAAGGTTCCAGGGTTTTCTTCGTCTTCTCTCTGAAGGTTTTCTAGACTCTTCTATTCTTACATTTTTCTGAAAACAATCTCTAATCTGAGTGATGTTAGGGTTGTATTTGGTATACGATCTGTGAGATTGTAGAAAACTGAATGTTGTATAAAAGAGAGGCGAAAGAAAACTGAAATTGAAGGAACTGTGGTTTCTTCATACATTTTTGTATCGATTCTTTGTGATTCTTAGTGGATTCGAGCCTAATCTACTTTTGTCAATGCTCAACGGGTGATTAGGCCTTTTCGCTGAACATCCGGGCCCTTAGGGGCGAAAATTCTTGCGTTCTTTACGTTTCTGTAATCCTTTAAAATTATTTACTGCAATCGTTTTTAAATGAAATAATAATCCTGAGACCAACAAGTGGTATCAAAGCAGTTTACGAAGGGTTAGGGTTTTTGAATTTTTCTTTTAAAGTTTTTTTTAAAGACCTAGATCGTAGATTTTTGGTTAAATCTTAAATCGAGTACTCTTTGTGAAAATTTCTTACAAGATCTACCTTCGGTTCAACTTTTTGCTGGATCTTTCAACTGTGTACTTTGTGATACGTCTTTGTGATATTATTTCTGATGATTACTGTATTTTCTTGGTTTTCTGAGGTTTCTGAATCTTTCTGAGTAATGTTTCATAAAGACTCGTACTGAGTAGCAATGAGTCAACTCGACTCATTCCGATTCCTGCTGATTTCTTGTGACTCACTGCTGAGTCACACTGAGTTGCTGTGACTCGTTGGCTTCTTATATGATACCTTGGATTGTGCAATCGGTTCTGGTATTCCCTTAATTACTTTCTTCATTCTGTAATACTGTGTTTCAATCTTTGGTATAAGTTCCTTACTTTCTTAGTTTCTCAGTTAACTGTTTAGATAATATACTACTCATAGAGTTGGTCATTAAGGTAATTGATCTTCTGCTACCTTCCTTTGTCCAAAGTCTCCTGCGAGGACCTGAGAATCTGAAGGGGTAGTGGGTTGAACAGGTCATCACCCCTTAGACCCTCTTTCAAGTTGGTAGCTATATCTTTACATTACTCTTGTTGAATATCTGCACATTCTTAATATAAGATTGCTATATTGAAATCTTTATTGTTTACTCTCACTGTCTGTACTTACTATATCCTGTGTGGCATATAAACTTGAATCTGTGGATTTATATGTGATTATCAATGTTTTAAAAATCGACCCGGTCATCGACCCAAAAAAAAGAAAGGGTCAAGGATTAAAAGGTTGAACCGGGGTCGAACCGGAATTTAACCGGTGACTTATAAAATCAAAATGAAAAATATACATTTATAAAGGAGAGAAAAAAAATGAAAAGTAAATATTGAAATCAAATCACAAAACAATCAATTACAATCAACTAAGTCAAGTGCTACTCAATCTAATCATATAATTTAAAACAAGTTAAATAACTTACTAAGTCAATAATATAAAGTAAACAATAATGTCAATAAGTGAACAACATGAAAGCTTAAATAGCTAAAATTTAAAAGTTTCGCATCAACTATCACCAATACTGAAAATGTCATGTAATAATTGGAGCAAAAAAGTGCACTAAACATAAAATATTAAATAGTTAAATTTCTCCTTTATCATTTTCATCTATAAGCCTCAATCCTTGATCACTTCCACGTTCACATGAACCACAAAAACGATGAATAACATCCATTGTATCTAAATCTCCCATCTCTTGAGTATTAATTTCATCCTTATTTTCATTGTCATCTAAAATACAAAATTACGTAACAATATATTAGATAAAAATACTTGACTAATATTAAAAAAAAAAAAGATAAAAACAATAAGTTAAGATTATTTACGAACCTTGAACATTATCATCAATTTCTTGATCATTAACACTGGAAATTGCATTTTCTTCATAAATAGCATTATCCAAGTCTTCGTACTCGAAATCCTGTGGTGGCACTTCTTCCTCTATCCAAAAGTTTGTCTTGTCAATACACTCATAATCAACTGGATCATAAGACCTCTTCTTATAATAACGCCTATAAGGTCGTAAATGAGTAGTAGTTAGATAAAGAAAATATATCAAATAAATGAGTCATTAAAATAAACTCTTGACGTGGTAAAAAGTTTAAGATTATATACCTATTCTTCAATCGCAAATTATACGTAACATAGACAAGATCGTTGAGTCTTTGATGCTCCAATCTATTTCTTTTTTTTTGTGTGTGAATACGTTCAAAGACACTCCAATTCCTTTCACATCCCGAAGAAGAAGCTGTTTGACCAAGTATTCGAATAGCTATCTTTTGCAAAGTTGGAGCACTAGATCCACACAATTTCCACCATTCATCTGCATAATTTAATAAAATTAGTTTCAAGCGCTAAGATTAAAAATAAACAATAAATAACTAAATACAATTTCTCACCAAGTTGTAATGATTTTCTAGTATTACATGCAGATTGCCTTCCAAAACTCCCTTCACGTTCTCGATACATCCTTATCTCCCCCATTGCTTTTGTCTCATCACCACAAATACTTTTGATTTCAAGCAAATTGAATAAACCTTGCATGACTTCTACTTTTTGACAAAATCCTTCTTCATAAATGAAAGCAGGATTGAAAAAATAAGCTGCTGCATGTATGTTAAGACGAAGATGTTTATCCCATCGCTCCTTAATCATATCAGTGTAAGGTTTCTACAATCTCTTCTTATTTAAGAATATATTTTTGATTCCTTTTCGTGCTCTATGCATGCCGTCATATACATAACCTAATGAACGTTTTTCATTTGAATCTACAATTCGTAGCAATCTTATAATAGGAGCCACAATTTTCACAGCCATCAAGCAATCCTCCCAAAATTTGTTATCCAAGATGATAGAGCTCACGAGTCTTCCATTTGCGCTTTTCGAAAGCCTATGGGTTGTTGAAAGCCTACTTGTTGCCAAACTCTGCAATGCTTGTTTGTGATCATAAATACTTTTCAATGTAATAAAAGTGGTAGCAAAACGAGTCACAGCTAGACGTACAATTTCCCTCCATTTAGGTATTTTTCGTAACCAAGACAAAAAAATTGTGTGATTATACACAAATATTGTAATTTTCGAAGCACGTAATGCAATGGAATGTACGTGAGGCATAGTACTAATATCTTTTAAAATAAGATTCAAACAATGTGCAGCACAAGGAGACCAAAAAATGTGATCATATTTGTCGTGCAATAATTTCCCTGCCGCCACATAGTTAGCGGCATTATCAGTTACCATACGAACCACATTACGAGGTCCAACCCATTCAACTATTTCAGAAAACAAATTACACAATGTTTGAGCATCTTTCACTACATCTGATGCATCATAAGATTTTATAAATACAATCCCAGACAAACAATATACCAAAATATTAATCAAAGTTCTATGTCTTTGATCGGTCCAACCATCGGCCATAATTGTACATCCATTATTTATCCGCTGACTTCGATAAGTGTCAACTAGCAATTGATATTCTTTCTTGCAATCTCTCAGCAAATTAACACGAATGTCATTATAAGATGGACCTTTAAATCCCGGACCAATTGCAGCAGTGACATCTAAAGCAAGTTGGAAATAAGGTGATTGCAAAGCATTAAATGTAATGCAAGCATCATAAAACCACCTAGCCCAAGACATATGAGCTCTCTTTATTGCTTGTTTACCAGCAACAACACTCTTTATACTAGGCTAAGATCCAAGAGTAGTCCTTGGGACGGTTTCAATCTTGTCACTTGCTTTCCTCTTCCCTTTTTCTTGACTTTGTTTTTCTAAAGACACATGTATTTCTTGAATATCCTCTTCCATTTCCTCTCCTCCAATTTCTAAATCTATATAATCATTCCCAAATGTACAATCATGAGCCTCTTTAGCATCTTGTTTCTTTTAGATATATCCTTAAGAACTCCTTGAAATTTAATTTGAACATCAAAAGGAACTTTCTTACATTGAGATATTTGACCTTTAATTCCAGCAAGATGGTATTTCATTCTATTAATTCCCCCACCTTTAAAGCTATTGTTGCAATAAAGACACGTATAAAAAACTTTACCATCAATATCACGACTAGACGAGAAGTGTTCCCATGCAGGATCAGTCTTTGCACGGCTAGAAGGTGTGGAACCTATAGATTGCCTTTCTGAAAACTGAGTATTGTCATCCATCCTAATTCCTAAGTAAAAGAAACTAAAATAACCATAGTTAGATAGAGTACCATTACCAATAAAATTTTCAAACCAAGAAACCAGTAAGGCAGTAGAAAAAGAGAACAAAACTCAAGTTCGTTTGTTGATGGATAAGTTTGGGATTGCACAATGGCACAAGTACAACCCAGAATCTAATTAACAATTATATAAATTGTTAGATACAGCATAAAAAGGAACCTATTGTGAGAGACCAAGCATAATATTCCTTCAACCTTCCAAACAACATATTGTACTCCTTTGACAAAAATGGAAAAACAAATTCCAAATAAAAGCCCAGAGACTATTCACTTTTCTTTCATTGAGATATTTGACACCAACATTTCAGAAGACCAAATTTTTATTTCCTATGGGTAGTAAAATTCCAGGAAACCACCATTAATGAAAGCAATTTAGCTTATGTTAAACCTCATCAAAACAAGTCAACAATAACCCAAGAAATGAATAAAGGGCAATATAATAACAGAATTATGTGGAGAAAAGGTTGGGTTTCTGCTCTTCCAAATGTACATTAAAGTTACACAAATCCAAAATTGGCAGGGAAGAAAAAAGTATACAAATTTCAATAAATTTCACTTATCAAATATGAAAATTGTTATTCAAAAACTACAAATATATGAAAAGTAAATAATTCTTGTTCTTAAATTACTTAGAATCTAGGAGGAAAAAGACAAGAAGTTCTGGGGAAAAAAAAAGAACACAATGAAAATCAAGGCATTTAGAAACAAACCAACCTGCTTTAGAAGTCCATTAATGGAAGAACAAGATTTAATTGAAGAACAAAGTAGAGGATTTTGGAATTTACCTTCTATTGATGCGGCCTATGAAGATGAGAGAAAGACGGGAGTTTGATTTCAATTGAAACAGGGAATAAGGGTTTTTCTTTCTTTTCACAATTTTATTCTAACTGGTAGCGGGTTACGGGTTTATAAAAAACCGGCCTGTCCAACGGGTTCACAAACAGTTTTTTAATTAAAAGGTTTTCAAAGCTAACCAGATCGAATTTCGGACCGATTCCAGATTTTCCCGGTTGAACCGGCTGGTCCGATCCGGTCCGATTTTCAAAACATTGGTGATTATGACTACTGCACAAAAATTCGAAGTAGAAATTTGAAGAGGGATTGGAGATTTTAGTTTGTGGCGCCAGAAAATAAGAGCTCTGTTATTACAACAGAGGTGTGCTGGGGTCATTAATGGGGTATGGCCTGTTGAGATGAGTGCATATAGGGGACATGAGTTAGATAAGATTGCCTGGAGTTCAATTTTCTTACATCTGTCCGATAGTGTAATAAGAAAAGTTGGGGAAACTACTACTACTCAAGCCTTATGGACCAAACTAGAATCCCTCTACTTGACTAAATCTATGCCTAACAAATGTTATCTTCTTAGGCAATTCTATAATTTTAGATTTGATCCCTCCTTAAGCCTAGAAGATAATTTTGATAAATTCACTAGATTGATTCAAGAATTGATTGACTATGAACAGGAATTATCTAAAGATCAACAAGTTGTTGCTCTGTTAAATGCACTAGGTGACAAATATAGAGAACTGAGAAATGCTTTAGAGTATGGGAGAACTGACCTTACTGTTGATATTGTTATATCAGCTCTAAGGAATAAGGAACTTGAACTTAAAACAGAATCCAAAGACTCTAAGTTTGGGAAAGGTTTGAATGTAAGAGAGAAAGCAAATCAGAACAAAAATAATAATCAATGTAATTTTAATTCACACAAGAAGGGAAAGCCTCAATTTCCTAAATTTAGAAATCAAAACAGAAATCAATCAAAACCTAAGTTATCAACCAGAAAATGTTATTACTGTGGTAAAACAGGACATCTCATAAAAAACTGTTTTAAGAAAATATCTGACATGAAAGGTAAAACAAATATAGATGGGTTTACAGTTGTTGTCTGCAATAATGAACCTGATATAGAGGGAGTTGTTTTTGTTACCACAACCAAAAGAAACCAAGATGAATGGGTTCTTGACTCTGGGTGTTTATTCCGTATGTGTCCCATTAAAGAGTGGTTCATTGATTTTACTGACCTGATTAGTGGGGGTCAAGTTCAGATGGGGAATGATATGACATGTCAAATAAGAGGTATTGGAAACCTTAACTTGTTACTGGAAAACAACAATATTCTTGAATTGTCTCAAATAAGATATGTGCCTGATCTTCAAAGAAACTTGATTTCTTTGGGGCAATTGGATGATGAATATAAAATTAGGATTCATAAAGGACAGAGTGTAATTAGTCTTAACTGTAAAGAGATAATCTCTTCTCCTAAATCTAATGGAATCTTTACACTGCAAGCTAAACCATTAGTTGGAAATAGCTCTGCAGTTGTAAAATCACATGACAATAAGACCTTGATTTGGCACAGGAGACTTGGCCATATTAGTGAAAAGGGATTGACAATTTTAAACAAATTAAAATGTTTTGGAAAGGACAATATTGCAAAATTAGAATTCTGTGAAGACTGTGTTATTGGAAAACAAAATAAACTACCTTTTAAAACTGGAATTGACAAATCAAATTCTATACTAGAGTATTTACATGATGACCTATGGGGTCCAACATCTGTAAATACTTTAAGTGGGTTCAGATTTTATTTGCTAATTGTAGATTTTTGGACTTTTCTTTTAAAACATAAATCAGACACTTTCCAAAACTTTAAACAATGGAAACTGATGATAGAAAATCAAACAAACAAAAAGGTAAAGGCACTTAGAACAGATAATGGCCTTGAATTTTGTAATTTTGAATTTGATCTTTTTTGTAAAGAATTTGGAATCTTGAGGCATAGAATAGTAACACACACTCATCAGCAAAATGGTACCACTGAAAGGATGAATAGAACCTTGTTGGAAAAGGTTAGTTGTATGTTACTTAGTTCTGGTCTTCCAAAGATCTTTTGGGGAGAAGTCCTGAAAACTACCACTTATCAGATAAATAGAATACCTTCAAGTGCTATTGATTTTCAAAACCCTAAAAATTAGAACGTTGTTGACTGCAAATGTGAACTTGAAGAAACGATTTATATTAATCAACCAAAATGTTTTGAACTAAAGTCAAAATATGATCAGGTTTGTTTATTAAAGAAATCTCTCTATGGTTTGAAACAGGCACCAACACAATGGTATAAGAAATTTTACTCTTATGTTCGAAATTTGAGATTTCTTAAGAGTAATTTTGACTCTTGTTTCTTCTTCAAAGGGTCAGGAGAACCTGATTCTCTCTATCTCTTATTATATGTTGATGATATGTTTATTGCCTGCTATGATAAATCTGAAATTATTTCTGTTAAAGAAAAACTTAAATCTGAATTTGAAACGAAAGATTTTGGACAAGCAAAGAGAATTTTAGGCATGGAAATCAATAGAGATAGAAAGAATTGTGTTCTGTATGTAAATCAAAACTCTTATGCGAATAAGATACTTGAGAAGTTTGCTATAACTGAGTGTAAACCCGTAACTTTACCTATTGCAAATCACTTCAAACTTTCTAGTGAATAGTCATCTAAAACTGATGAAGAATATGACAAAATGAGTAAAATAACTTATGCAAATGCTGTTGGCTCTATTATGTACCTTATGATATGTACAAGACCTGATTTAGCTCATGGTATAAGCATACTTAGTAGATTCATGGCCAATCCAGGTGAGACACATTGGTTAGCAATCAAATGGATGTTAAGATATCTAAAGGGCTCAATTGAACTAGGATTAAAATTTCAAATATGTAATGAAGGCATTATCCTGTAAGGATATACAGATTCTGACTTTGCTGGAGATTTAGATAAAAGAAGATCAACCTCCTCCTATGTGTTTACTCTTTGTGATAGTTGTGTTAGTTGGAAGTCCCAACTACACAAACTTGTAGCTCTATCTTCTACTGAAGCTGAGTATATTGCAGCATGTAATGCTGTTAAAGAAGGTTTGTGGTTAAGGGGTTTATTAAATGAAATTGGTTTCATGAATGAAATGGTTAGAATCTGTACTGATAACCAGAGTGCAATTCATTTGAGTAAAAATCCTGTATATCATGATAGGACTAAACATGTTGATATTAAATTTCATTTTGTTAGAAATATGGTTGAAAAGGGACTAACTAACTTGGTTAAAATCCCAACTGAATTTAATCCTTCTGATATTGGTACTAAGGTTTTACCTCTAAACAAGTTCAAAAATTGTCTGAAAATTCTGAACATACTTTGAAGGTAATAAATTCAGTTTGATATTTGAATTTTATTTGTTGTTTCTGAAAATAAACTGACTATTTTTCATTTTTTATTTTTAAAGGTTTTATAGAGCAAATGAAACAAAAATAGACCAAGTCTTGAATCCATGAAAGAATACCAAGAATAGATTAGCAAGGTAGAGATTGTTGGCGGGCTGCCTCTCTATTCTTGGCTGGTTCAATTTAGTGGTATTAGGCCCTGCTGGGTTGGTTGATCCAACGGGTTGAAATGGTTTGGAAATGGAAAGCGTTTTTTTTTTGAAACACGTCTTTCCTTAATAAAGGATGACTGTTGTGGACCTTACACTTGGTACTTTTGTGATCGTTGGATTGTTAATATTTTGGTGGACTGTTAAAGTCTCTTGACTCTTCACTTTTGCCGTAATCTGAGTGAAAGGTTCTAGGTTTTCTTTGTCTTCTCTCTGAGGGTTTTCTGGACTCTTCTGTTCTTGCATTTTTCTGAAAACAATTTCTAATCTGAGTGATGTTAGGGTTGTATTTGGTATACGATCTGTGAGATTGTAGAAAATTGAGTGTTGTATAAAAGAGAGGCGAAAGAAAACTGAAATTGAAGGAACTGTGGTTTCTTCATACATTCTTGTATCGATTTTTTGTGATTCTTAGTGGATTCGAGCCTAATCTACTTTTGTCGATGCTCAACGGGTGAGTAGGCCTTTTCGCTGAACATCCGAGCCCTTAGGGGCGAAAATTCTTGCGTTCTATACGTTTCTGTAATCCTTTAAAATTGTTTACTACAATCGTTTTTGAATGAAATAATAATCCTGAGACCAACATCTTTAGTCTAATGAATCCCTTTATTTATCTTCAACATGCGATTTCTATCTCAAATCTTCTCATTCTGACAATCGGATGAGAAAAGATAAAACTGCTTCAGTCTACAAGAACATGATATAAACATATATTTCTACTATCAAAATTGATAACTAAATCATAGAAAATTATGCAGATTTAATAGCTGATTCAAAGGGTTTTCAAAACTCTAAAACATGTGTATGTGTCATCAACTAGGTATTTCTACAATTACAACCTTCTTATCTGCATTTTTTAGTGCCAAGCAGAAGCTGAGACCAGATTCCTCTCCGTCCACCTCAATACCATGCCCCGTTCGTTTAAAATAACGTAAAATGTTCCGAATAAGATCTTAATAAACCCCTAATCACCAAATTGACATTAGAACCTAGAGGAAATTGCCGAAAACTGGCCATCATAAATCTCAATCTCCACTTGCCAAGAAGCTCGTGGGTTCCACTCTCTCCTTGCCTAAGTTGCCTTCGCATGCTATAATGTTCAAAATATCTTTAGCCAGACAGTGTTCTTCACATTAATGCGCCCTTTACGATTTCTGGGGTTTCGTTACATCTATTGACTCGAACATAGCCAAATAATAGTCTAAAGGTGCGATGAATCTTGGAACTCTAAAGCTCGTCTCGCACTAAAAAGCACTCAGAAAGTAATATAGACGTTAAAATATTTCTTGCTGCAATATAAGAATGTTAAACCGTAACTTCTTTTTGTATTACGAAAAATTGGATATGAGATTTGAGTTGACACCAATTTAAAGAGAAAAATGCTATGTCCCTCATGGGGTAGCCGAGTTATTGAAGTAGGTGAGCGTGGAGGCCTATGGTTACGAG